TGAACCTGGCAGAGTTCAGAGGGCTTTATGTGGGAGAGAGGAGAGACAGCTTCCCTGCCCCCTCCCCCATCATGCTTTAAAACAGTGTGGGCTATGTGTGGGGAGAGGTGTTTAGTTTTTGTCTCTGATACAACCTCCCTGACCGATTTCATTTTGTCCTTTGTTAGGTCCTTTAAATAACTCCTCAAAGTTGTGTCTGTAGTGTTGCTTGTATCATCCCTGTTTGCTTTCTTCTTCGACCTCACTCTTTTCTAGGACATCAGGTTTCTGATTCAGCTACAGTTGTTAGTGAATATAGTTAAAATAATACACCCCCACCCCGTTTGTTAATCATTCTTTGGATGTAGAAGATGACTCCTTTTGGACGTAGATGACGACTTGAGAAGTTTTGCAGAGAGTTTTGTATTGGCTCCTTCAAATTCTCTGACATTGTTGTCTTACTTCATTTTACTCTTTCTCTAACTGCTGCATGTAATGTATGTACACTGATGCCGCATCTATGACATTTTTGTTCATGCTGTACATTGGCTAAGGTTGTGATTGGGAGGACAGAACTGTGGAATCATACCAGTAGATGTATATTGTATAAAGTATTACAGGATGACTTTTAATAACTTGGTATATGTAAAGAGCAATCTTGCTGAATGTCTGTTCAGTGTAGATTATGCATAGTAGCAAAATTCTAATGTGATATGCTGCATTTTAACTGGGGTAGTTGTGCAGAATTGTTTTTTTCATACAGAGGTGAAAATATGCTTGGGAAGGAGGGGAAGAGTTATCAGAAAGACAAATGTTAATGCTGGAGTCTAACAAGTTGAATATGTTCATATTTTTCAGTAAACTTTGAGGCTTTAATTATTGCCATAGCTGTAGTAGCTGGACTCATTCTGGTGTCCATAGCAGTCTGTTGCTGTTACTGCTGTTACTGCAGAAGGCGTTCCAGGAGGTAAATATGTATATTTGTTTCCTTTACTAACTTTGGGTACTGGTCTTCCTTACCTACTTACAACTTTTACTCTCCAATATACTAAGAATCTTCTCATTTGGAAGCAATTTTGGTCACTTTGGTTAGTGACAGGCAGTATGACACTAGAAATTATGCTGGAATGACACTGAAGTTATGTTATTAGCGGTAGCATCACAGATATGTTCTTTAAGCAAGCTATTACTTTACATGTCTACATTTTACACTTCCTTGTTAAAATTGGACATGAAATATTTCAATGGCCAAATAAATACTTGCTTCTTGTGATAACAGAACAAATGATTTCTTTCGAGGCAAGCTCATGGTACAGCAAAAAGAGACCAGGTGGGTAACAAGTAACTGTGTCCTACAGCACTTGGTATCCATGCTTCAGAGTTTGCTCTAGGATCTGTCAGTATCTAAGTGAGCTGTCTTTGCCAATTCAACAAAATATTCTAAATGTAAGATGATACTTTTTTCCTCTAAGATACTAAGAGAGACTGACTTATTTTCAAGTAAAGTAATACTGCAAAAATAAAGTGTTTTTTAGATCTTGGAGGACTTGTAAAACCTCTTTTTGTTTTTCCTACTGGCTTACTTCTTTAATTGGCTAATATCCTTCAAAGGGAGGGAAATAGTTGATGAGCAGCTAAAATAGGTAAGTCAGTGATTCCATGGGAAGTGATCAGTACTTATTTCCTAATGAAATACCTGGAAAGCCTTGTTTATTGGGACAGCACAATATGCTTCCTTGTGTCACTGAAGCTTTAGAGCTCAGGTTTCTGGGCAGTGTAGCTTCAGCTAGCTCTGTTCCTTTTGTCCTTCAGTACCACTCACGTGAACAAAATGTGGACCTTATTTCTTGATCTGAAATAATTTCTATACTCAAGTACCTGTAATTCATTGTTCTTGTTTGAGGGTTGGTTTTTTTAAAGAATTCATGCAGCTGTAGAGTGGTTAGTGCTGACCTTCAAGCCAGAGAAATATGGTACATCTGTGGCTTTCAAAAAAGGAGAAAACAATTGTAAATAACATGTCATTCCCTTTTCTTTTCCCTGAGGAAGATGCATGTACCTATTTTGCTGGTAGATTGGTCTACCAAATCTGTCCTAGTGCAAAAATTGATAACTCTTTAGCCCTGTGCTGATAAGCCCTGAAGATGTATCAAACTGTTTTAGATTTTATGTAAGATCTGCCGACTTCCTCTGCAGAAGAACTGAGTAGGCCCCTGTGGCTGACATGCTGACAAATAAACTCTATTCCTGTGAAGAGAGAGATTTGTGCCAGACTTCAGTTTTAGTAGCTAAGTCGTCAATCAGTACTGTAACATCCAATTCCAAAAATAGAGGGTTAGTTGAGAGTCATCTTATGCCAGAACTCCAAAGGTGTCAAGCTTAATCTTCTGACACTCAGAGGATTTAAAGGTCTTGTCAGAGTGGGGTCCAGCTTATTTCAGGAGGATTCAGAATGTATTATTACACTGGAGCCTGATATATT